ATGTCCACTATTTTCTACACCGGGGTCGATATTTTGGCCGTAGAGGTCGATGTAGCTAATATGTGGATGTTGGATGATGTCCTCCCGTTCATGGCTGACACCCATGGAGGAATGACTCTTTGGGCGATCCAGAGCCTTGTCTCTTTTATTGCGGTCTGCACCATCATCTACACGGGTGACTTCACTAATTCTACGGTCTTCAAACTATTTGTGGGGATACTTATCTTTCAGATAGTATATAGTTTTTGTGTGGGAGTTGTCGATATGCATGCCCTCTATGCTCTGATGCATGTACATCGTCCTTAGATACTTTGGGTGTGGACAGTTTGAGACTTTATTATGCTCAATCTTGTTTCATGGGTTTGTTTTCTGGTCTACGGTTTGATACAGTTTATTGACGTTGATTCTGTCTTCTGCCCACATACTCACTGTACTGCATATCGGGTTGCAGCAACTATGACACTAGTGACATCTTTCCTTTTTGGACCCACTTTTCTACAGAACTTTAGGTTTTTAGTTTATAGGTCACTTTAGTTCTTAGTCCTGTTCTAGCTAGTGAATGGGGACTATGTTTAGTTGATGGATTGTACTAATGCTACTTTTAGATTACTTCAACATTTCTAAACTATTTTCTTGATTGTAATATCTCATATTATAATGTTTCTTAATTATAATTTTTCTAATATGTTCCAAGCTTCTCTAGGCTTTTGAACAACCTGGAACATAGAATTTCGTTGACACTATAGTGCTATAGACAAGAATTTCTCATGAGCTAATTCCACACTTTGAAATATCTAAATGGCTTCATACCATTACTTCAATACCATTACTTGAAAGCTAATTGTAATGGTATGAAGCCATTTAGATATTTCAAAGTGTGGAATTAGCTCATGAGAAATTCTTGTCTATAGCACTATAGTGTCAACGAAATTCTATGTTCCAGGTTGTTCAAAAGCCTAGAGAAGCTTGGAACATATTAGAAAAATTATAATTAAGAAACATTATAATATGAGATATTACAATCAAGAAAATAGTTTAGATATGTTGAAGTAATCTAAAAGTAGCATTAGTACAATCCATCAACTAAACATAGTCCACATTCACTAGTTACAACAGGACTAAGAACTAAAGTGACCTATAAACTAAAAACCTAAAGTTCTGCAGAAAAGTTGGTCCAAAAAGGAAAGATGTCACTAGTGCAATAGCTGCTGCAACCCGATAAGCAGTACAGTATGTGGGCAGAATCAACGTCAAGAAATTGTATTAAATCGTAGACCAGAAAACTAACCCATGAAACAAGATTGAGCATAATAAAGTCTCAAATTGTCCACACCCAAAGTATCTAAGGACGATGTACATGCATCAGAGCATAGAGGGCATGCATATCGACAACTCCCACACAAAAACTATATACTATCTGAAAGATAAGTATCCCCACAAATAGTTTGAAGACCGTAGAATTAGTGAAGTCACCCGTGTAGATGATGGTGCAGACCGCAACAAAAGAGAGAAGGCTCTGGATCGTCCAAAGAGTGATTCCTCCACGGGTGCCGGCCATGAACGGGAGGACATCATCCAACATCCACGTATCGGCTGCATCGACCTCTAGAGCCAAAATATCGACCCCGGTGTAGAAAATAGTGGACATGTCTATTCAAATGTCATATAAAATATAAATATAAATTAAATCAACATGTAAAGAAATCTTGTTTGATTTTGTTTTTTTTATTGCATGCTAGTTTTTTTTGAGTTTGTTTGTTAAATGTTATATGTTTCACTTAAATCTTAAATGTAATGGTTGAACTTCTTGATCAATTTCTAACACTAAGCTGATGTGATTTATTCAAATGCCCTTGAGAGTGGTCACTTGTATTTAATGCAGCTAATCCAAACTTATATGAGTGAAGTAATGAGGTACGGCTTTGGTTCTGTAACAAGCCTTAGACTTATGAAACTAAACTTTGAGCATAATAAAGAGAGCTAGATACTATCTATTTCTTCATGCTAAATAGCACTTAAATACCTATTTAGTATACATATCTCGACGTTTAATAACCCATCTTTTTTTTGACATTAAAGTGCCCCATAGTTTACAAGACTAATTTGCGTTTATATAACACTGTCGAGATATAGACAATGCAAAGATCTAATTCATCTAATCCTAACCTATCTTAAATAGAGATTGAGAAAATATTACAAAATATATATATATATAATAAAATCACATCCAATCATATCTTACAATATCTCATAATATCTACTTATATCTCAATGCTAATAATATCTAAGATTCTCCTTCAAATGTATATATATATAAACAAAATAACTACTTGTAAGAGCTTCGTAATGTCATCATTGTCTGAAATATTTAAACACATCAATAATCAGAAAAGTGAAGTCACGGCCAGTAGAAACCCTAGGTGGGTTTGCCGGCAGGGAGAAACCTTATGTGGATCATCCGGTAAAAAGAAACTCTTGGCGAATTAGCCAGTAAAGAGAAACCTTAGATGTGTTAGCCAGTAGAAATAAAGTCGAGAAAGAAGGAATTGTGGAGGGTACTTTCGGCGTGAAGACCGTCCAAAGTTTGAATATACTCTATGAAAATTGATGTGGAGAAGTTTAACGGCACAAACAATTTTGATCTTTGGAGATGTGAAGTCTTGGATGCGCTCAACACGCAAAATTTGGAAGACACTTTAGAGTTGGACGGGAAACCGGACGACATTGAGGAGAGGTTTGGAAGAAGAATAGAACGGCGTGTGGTGTGATTAGATCTTGTTTGACTGAAGATTTAAAATATGACGTGATCAATGATACTTCGGCTAAGAAGATTTGGAAGATCCTTGAGAGCAAGTATTTGACCAAGAGTGTGGAGAATCGCTTGCATTTGAAGAGGAGGTTTTATTGCTTCCAATTGATGAAGGGGACCTCCATTGGTAATCACATGAACCACTACACGAAGTTTCTTACGGATTTGACGAATGTAGATGTGATGATTGAATATGAGGACAAGGCGTTGTTGAGTTCCTTGCCTGACGAGGAATATGAGACCTTCGTTCTTACTCTTATTAATGAGAAGACATCTCTTTTGTATAGTGAGGTCACCACTGGACTTGTGAATTATCAGCTTCGAAAGAAGGATAATGATACTTCAGTTGAGCCGGTAGCGGGAGCATTATTTGCAAGAGCAAAGAGTCCAAACCGTGGTAGGAGGTCACAGTCTAGAGGGGAACATCTTGGAGTTCGTAGAAATCAGTGTGCCCTTTGTAAAAAGGATGGGCATTGGAAAGCCTAATGCCCAAAGTTGGTTGATCGAGCCGAGAATAATAAGGGGAAGCTATTCAAGCTTCAGAGGTGAATATTGTCAAGGCTAGTGGTAACAATTTAGATTCGGATTCTTCAGGCTACTCGTTATCTGCACTACCGTCAGTTTGTGTTGCCGACTCTACAGAGTGGATGTTGGATTCGAGTGTTTCTTACCATATTTACCCTAGAAGGGATTGGTTCTTTAGCTTTTAGGAGTTGGAAAGAGGAGATGTCGTGCTCATGGGTAATGATCATGAATGTCCTATTGGTGGTATTGGTACCGTTCGGATTAGGATGAGTGACGGAGTGATTCGGGAGTTGGTTGGAGTGAGTTTTGTTCCTCAGTTAAAAAAGAACATCTTTTCACTTGGAGTTTTGGAGGCACGTTTGAAGGTCACATTATGGTCCATGATTGTGATGAAGGCAGTCAGGAGGAATAATTTGTATTATTTGATTGGGAGCACGGTGTTTGATAGAGAGCTGATGACTTCTTTGGATTTGGCTACCACAAGTAGATACTAACTTTTGGAGAGTGATCGCATTCTCATTTGAGTCTCGACTTGTTGTGGAGTGAGTTCGTTGTCATGATTTTCTTTCACTTTGTATTTGACGCAACAAGTGGGGTATTTGGTTTGGTTGGTGTCGGCTCAGTTTTGGGAAAACTTCACCGAGGTGAAGAATTGTAGAATTGAAGAAACAGCGAACGGATTTGGATCAGACCAGTTTTGGACGAATGACTGATTTTGAGTGCTGCACGGTCGACCGCTAGTGGCGTGGCGGTCGACTGTGAACGTGCACAAGACAAGGAAATCTCTGGACTTTTCGTGGTAGACCGCAAGTGGCGCGGGGGTCGACCGGCAAAACCCTGTAGTGTTTTTTGGTTTCGGTCTTTGGATCCGATCGATCGTGATGGGTTCGACGGTCGACCGTGAGTCGGGTTTGGGCCTGATTTTGGTTTCCTGTTTTGGTTGGGTTTTGGTGTTTGATATAAATACCAATACATTTTAGGGTTTCTTCAGGCTTATTTAGCGGATATTTGGAGCACAGAAAAAAGGTATTTTCTGAGCTATTTGTTTAGGGTTTTATTTGGAGAGATTAAAAGCTTTGTGGTAAGATTAGTTTGTTCCTTCGCGTGATTTGTAATCTCAATTTGTACTAATTTTCTCTATTAGTGAAAACCTCATCCACTTCCTTCCCCGTGGACGTAGGCAACTTAGCGAATCACGTTAAAATCGTTTGTTTGTGTTTGTGACATTGATTTGGTTGGTTTGGCCTTTATCTCGACGTTTGTTTGTTTTGGTTCTCGAAGCACGTTGGTTTGGTTTGTGGCTTCCACATAGGCGCACAACAAGTGGTATCATAGCATATCACAACATATATATATATATATATATATATATATATATATATACACACACACACACACATGGGACAATACCCTTCACACAAGAACTTCATAATGTTAATCTGATTAGTAGCAATAATAATAGATACAGACAAAGCTTTATCAGCTCATAGAAAACAAACCATTCTCCTATTGTTTGATAGCTGTTGTACCCCTACTATCCCTAAAACAATTATAATCCAATACCCCTCCGAGAACTGACCAGTTTTGCTCCAGGTTTAAAGTGAAGCAAACAAGTAGAATTTGCATTTATGTATAAATTGTTTTACTAATTTCTATTTGGGAGGCAATATGGTTAAGAACCCTAACATTATAAAATCCCACATCCATGGACGACTATAACCTTGTACTTTCCTTCTATTGACAACTGATTTGATCGACCTCCAACTCTGATGTAAAAGAGAATCAGAGGAATCTCGAAGAGCCATGCTATTACTCGCTATTTACAATAATAATCTCTCCATCAAGGAAATTAACCTTTTTTTACTTCACAGCTGATACATATATTTTATTCATAGGATAATTATACTATTTGAGCACACTCCACTCTTGATCCTTGTCTCCAACTACTACTCCTTTAGATCAAATATTCCTCTGAATAGGCTGCACTCCACTTTTTAGTCGAGGCTTGTGATAAATTCTAGCATATTAACTCCTTCATGGCTTCATGTCGTAACACTTATCATTTTTTGATCAATGAAAAACTTCATTCATTCATCAAGTGAGCGTTTATATTACATCAATATACTCAAAAGTTTGAGAAATTAAAAAATACAAAGAGTTTAATAGCTCAATCTAGAGGGTGAAATTTTACCAACATTGCATCCATAGATCATATTCAGCTAGGATATGTTTGTTTAGAACAGTAATAAGCACAAACTACTTTATTTCTAAAGATGAGGGAAGAACAATCAAATGTAATATAGTCACTTGTTTATGAGGAGAACACCATGGTATTTAATTGGCAACACACCTTCAGATAATTCCAATTTAGAGAAAATAGTGTTCCTTTAATTTTTGGATCTGAGAGATTTCGCTTTTTAGGAGGCGTTAGGCTTGACTTTTCCTTTAATTTTTTAGTTTGTTTACTACTATGTTGGTTATCGGTTTAAAATTATGGAATTTGTGTTAATCTTTTTCTTTAGAATCTAATATGTTTTTAAAATAAAATGAATTGATGTAAGACTTTAATTTCGGCATCTGCGTATTAACTGCTAAGACATCCTTTTCTCTTATTTGGGGACGATGAAGCTTGACGAACTACTATTTATATGTCAATTTGTAATGAATATTATTTGAATTTTCTTTTGTTTTGTTAATTGTTCTTCTGGACATAAGCAACAAATAGCTTTCAAATCATGATCTGGCTCAAGTTTTATACTTTTTGATCTCTTGAACTATGTGAATAGTTCATTTGCATAGTTTCTTCTGCTTGCTCAGTGCTGAAACTTGGAGGGTAACTTTCATTCTTCTGATGTATTAGATATAATTGAATTCGCAAATAATTTAACGTTACTTCTTGTTTCACATCAATGTCTAATTTTTATAGGCTAATCTATTCTGATGATTCATGTTAATGTAAACTTTCAGATATGCATTACGTGGAGTACTTCAGCTAGCTTAGAGCAAGTTCTGCCCTGGATGTTTTACCACAAGGTTCTTAGAGTGATAAACTTCTTTCTGTTTGTAGAAGGAAAGGCTGCAAAACCCGATCTTTCAACAGTTCTAGAATCTATTCCTGTATGTTTCTTCATCCTTCTTTGGCCTGATATTAAAGAATTTATTTTTAGCTATTTGGCATTTTGCATAATTCTCACTCAAAATAGTGATTATAACTTCATGTTTTTGTGTATTGCCATTGTTTGGTAGGGGGTAAAAGTGATCTACAGAACTAGAGAACTCGAGGATAAACATGCTAAGAGGTTAGTTCAAGTTACTACATGGCATGAAATTCTTTATACAAGGATATGATTGTCTTTGGAAATATGCTCTTTAAGCAAAAGTCCAACCAAGTTTCAATTATTGTGGCTAAGAAATTTATTTAATGCTCAACATTCAGTTCATGATATAATGGGTTGAATGTTGGTCATACGTTGTACAATTATCAATTATATCCATGCATAATGCTAAAAATATAAGCAAGATTTTAGTTTATCAAAAATTGTAAGCAATCATCGTAGACGGTCAACAATTTTAAGGGCAAGTCTTCATCGTGTATTTCGTCAGTTGTGGTACACATAATTTCATATTTTAGTTCCTTTATGATCTCAGCATCTATTTATTGTTTAATGTGTCTGTGCTACATTTTCATATATCCATATTCAAGAATTAAAAAAAAAAAACTAGAAGAAGAGTTTCACAGTCACACCAATCTTTGCTATATTAGATAATGGTCCGCTGCATTCATGTGCATTTGTTATTAGTTCTACACAGCTAAATCACTCGTAGTTTCTTGAAGATCTCCTACTTAAGTTCTAGGCTTCTGAGATATGACAAGACGCCACGAGTTCAAGCGTTGTCACCGACATTATTAGATTCTTTTCCCCCTATATTGGGAGAGGTGGGTAGGATCCATCGATATTAATAAAATGTCTCTCTTTTCGTCTAACTTTAGGTATTTACTTTACCACTTGCTTGAGCACTAATCTAGATTCTCATGAATAAGTATGAGTATACAATATAAATATGCGGATACCCTTTTATGAATTCTTCATGTATATGGAAGTTAAATAATAATTCACACTGTGAAAACTTATAACTCAATCATCAATGAAATCCATCATACATTTATATAGAAATACATCTGATTCAAGAGCTCATCATATATTCCAATCCCATATACGGCCAAAACACACCAAACAGAACTCTTTTGTATGTGTATATTATTACAAAACTAGATATGGATTGGATCCCTATAAATAATTCTATGCATACTCAAGAGAGTCATAGATGATACTTATTCAATAAAAATATGATTTTCTTCATGTAGTAAAATCTGGGATTTTACGGGCAATATTTTCTTCATAGATCCCAAGATGCGAAAGGGTTTTTTCTATTTGAAAAATTGAAGAGTTCTTTAGACCTATGGATTAGAGCTCGATTATATTTAAATGTTTTTTTCCATTACGGAGGAAGACTTTATCATTGGTGATTATGTTCCCAGAATCTTGTTTTATAATATTTACATGTTAATTTAACTTGAAAATCGTCAGCTGAATTTGTTACTTGTGTCTTGCAGCTTCCATACCATTTCTCCTCTTTTTTTATTTTATTTTTTGGGATAAGAAATATATGTATCAGCTGTGAAGTAAAAAAAGGTTAATTTCCTTGATGGAGAGATTATTATTGTAAATAGTGAGTAATAGCATGGCTCTTCGAGATTCCTCTGATTCTCTTTTACATCAGAGTTGGAGGTCGATCAAATCAGTTGTCAATAGAAGGAAAGTACAAGGTTATAGTCGTCCATGGATGTGGGATTTTATAATGTTAGGGTTCTTAACCATATTGCCTCCCAAATAGAAATTAGTAAAACAATTTATACATAAATGCAAATTCTACTTGTTTGCTTCACTTTAAACCTGGAGCAAAACTGGTCAGTTCTCGGAGGGGTATTGGATTATAATTGTTTTAGGGATAGTAGGGGTACAACAGCTATCAACAATAGGAGAATGGTATTGTTTCTATGAGCTGATAAGAGCTTTGTCTGTATCTATTATTTATTGTACTAATCAGATTAACATTATGAAGTTCTTGTGTGAAGGGTATTGTCCATTGTGTTGTGTGTGTGTGTGTGTGTATATATATATATATATATATATATATATATATATATATATATATATATATATACACACACACACACACACAACACAATGGACAATACCCTTCACACAAGAACTTCATAATGTTAATCTGATTAGTACAATAAATAATAGATACAGACAAAGCTCTTATCAGCTCATAGAAACAATACCATTCTCCTATTGTTGATAGCTGTTGTACCCCTACTATCCCTAAAACAATTATAATCCACAATGGACAATACCCTTCACACAAGAACTTCATAATGTTAATCTGATTAGTACAATAAATAATAGATACAGACAAAGCTCTTATCAGCTCATAGAAACAATACCATTCTCCTATTGTTGATAGCTGTTGTACCCCTACTATCCCTAAAACAATTATAATCCAATACCCCTCCGAGAACTGACCAGTTTTGCTCCAGGTTTAAAGTGAAGCAAACAAGTAGAATTTGCATTTATGTATAAATTGTTTTACTAATTTCTATTTGGGAGGCAATATGGTTAAGAACCCTAACATTATAAAATCCCACATCCATGGACGACTATAACCTTGTACTTTCCTTCTATTGACAACTGATTTGATCGACCTCCAACTCTGATGTAAAAGAGAATCAGAGGAATCTCGAAGAGCCATGCTATTACTCGCTATTTACAATAATAATCTCTCCATCAAGGAAATTAACCTTTTTTTACTTCACAGCTGATACATATATTTTATTCATAGGATAATTATACTATTTGAGCACACTCCACTCTTGATCCTTGTCTCCAACTACTACTCCTTTAGATCAAATATTCCTCTGAATAGGCTGCACTCCACTTTTTAGTCGAGGCTTGTGATAAATTCTAGCATATTAACTCCTTCATGGCTTCATGTCGTAACACTTATCATTTTTTGATCAATGAAAAACTTCATTCATTCATCAAGTGAGCGTTTATATTACATCAATATACTCAAAAGTTTGAGAAATTAAAAAATACAAAGAGTTTAATAGCTCAATCTAGAGGGTGAAATTTTACCAACATTGCATCCATAGATCATATTCAGCTAGGATATGTTTGTTTAGAACAGTAATAAGCACAAACTACTTTATTTCTAAAGATGAGGGAAGAACAATCAAATGTAATATAGTCACTTGTTTATGAGGAGAACACCATGGTATTTAATTGGCAACACACCTTCAGATAATTCCAATTTAGAGAAAATAGTGTTCCTTTAATTTTTGGATCTGAGAGATTTCGCTTTTTAGGAGGCGTTAGGCTTGACTTTTCCTTTAATTTTTTAGTTTGTTTACTACTATGTTGGTTATCGGTTTAAAATTATGGAATTTGTGTTAATCTTTTTCTTTAGAATCTAATATGTTTTTAAAATAAAATGAATTGATGTAAGACTTTAATTTCGGCATCTGCGTATTAACTGCTAAGACATCCTTTTCTCTTATTTGGGGACGATGAAGCTTGACGAACTACTATTTATATGTCAATTTGTAATGAATATTATTTGAATTTTCTTTTGTTTTGTTAATTGTTCTTCTGGACATAAGCAACAAATAGCTTTCAAATCATCTTTTCCTTTAATTTTTTAGTTTGTTTACTACTATGTTGGTTATCGGTTTAAAATTATGGAATTTGGGTTAATCGTTTTCTTTAGAATCTAATATGTTTTTAAAATAAAATGAATTGATGTAAGACTTTAATTTCGGCATCTGCGTATTAACTGCTAAGACATCCTTTTCTCTTATTTGGGGACGATGAAGCTTGACGAACTACTATTTATATGTCAATTTGTAATGAATATTATTTGAATTTTCTTTTGTTTTGTTAATTGTTCTTCTGGACATAAGCAACAAATAGCTTTCAAATCATGATCTGGCTCAAGTTTTATACTTTTTGATCTCTTGAACTATGTGAATAGTTCATTTGCATAGTTTCTTCTGCTTGCTCAGTGCTGAAACTTGGAGGGTAACTTTCATTCTTCTGATGTATTAGATATAATTGAATTCGCAAATAATTTAACGTTACTTCTTGTTTCACATCAATGTCTAATTTTTATAGGCTAATCTATTCTGATGATTCATGTTAATGTAAACTTTCAGATATGCATTACGTGGAGTACTTCAGCTAGCTTAGAGCAAGTTCTGCCCTGGATGTTTTACCACAAGGTTCTTAGAGTGATAAACTTCTTTCTGTTTGTAGAAGGAAAGGCTGCAAAACCCGATCTTTCAACAGTTCTAGAATCTATTCCTGTATGTTTCTTCATCCTTCTTTGGCCTGATATTAAAGAATTTATTTTTACCTGTTTGGCATTTTGCATAATTCTCGCTCAAAATAGTGATTATAACTTCATGTTTTTGTGTATTGCCATTGTTTGGTAGGGGGTAAAAGTGATCTACAGAACTAGAGAACTCGAGGATAAACATGCTAAGAGGTTAGTTCAAGTTACTACATGGCATGAAATTCTTTATACAAGGATATGATTGTCTTTGGAAATATGCTCTTTAAGCAAAAGTCCAACCAAGTTTCAATTATTGTGGCTAAGAAATTTATTTAATGCTCAACATTCAGTTCATGATATAATGGGTTGAATGTTGGTCATACGTTGTACAATTATCAATTATATCCATGCATAATGCTAAAAATATAAGCAAGATTTTAGTTTATCAAAAATTGTAAGCAATCATCGTAGACGGTCAACAATTTTAAGGGCAAGTCTTCATCGTGTAGTTCATCAGTTGTGGTACACATAATTTCATATTTTAGTTCCTTTATGATCTCAAACTAGAAGAAGAGTTTCACAGTCACACCAATCTTTGCTATATTAGATAATGGTCCGCTGCATTCTTGTGCATTTGTTATTAGTTCTACACAGCTAAATCACTCGTAGTTTCTTGAAGATCTCCTACTTAAGTTCTAGGCTTCTGAGATATGACAAGGCGCCACGAGTTCAAGCGTTGTCACCAACATTATTAGATTATTTCCCCCTTATATTGGGAGAGGTGGGTAGGATCCATCGATATTAAAAAATGGTAGGATCCATCGATATTAAAAAATGTCTCTCTTTTCGTCTAACTTTAGGTATTTACTTTACCACTTGCTTGAGCACTAATCTAGATTCTCATGAATAAGTATGAGTATACAATATAAATATGCGGATACCCTTTTATGAATTCTTCATGTATATGGAAGTTAAATAATAATTCACACTGTGAAATTTTATAACTCAATCATCAATGAAATCCATCATACATTTATATAGAAATACATCTGATTCAAGAGCTCATCATATATTCCAATCCCATATACGGCCAAAACACACAAAACAGAACTCTTTTGTATGTGTATATTATTACAAAACTAGATATGGATTGGATCCCTATAAATAATTCTATGCATACTCAAGAGAGTCATAGATGATACTTATTCAATAAAAATATGATTTTCTTCATGTAGTAAAATCTGGGATTTTACGGGCAATATTTTCTTCATAGATCCCAAGATGCGAAAGGGTTTTTTCTATTTGAAAAATTGAAGAGTTCTTTAGACCTATGGATTAGAGCTCGATTATATTTAAATGTTTTTTTCCATTACGGAGGAAGACTTTATCATTAGTGATTGTGTTCCCAGAATCTTGTTTTATAATATTTACATGTTAATTTAACTTGAAAATCGTCAGCTGAATTTGTTACTTGTGTCTTGCAGCTTCCATACCATTTCTCCTCTTTTTTTTTTGGATAAGTACATGGTCTTGAATTTTGGAGATCTTCATTGACCAGTTCTATTACTACGATATTCTCAGTATCCGAGTGCAGTTGGAATTGGCACCATAACTGTTTAGATTTGTCATGTAGTCCACTAAAATGAGCATATGAATATATGTTTTCCTTAAATAGAAGGGGTCAATATACTCCTGAGGGCTTTAGGGAGTACTCTCTACCTTTGAGTTTTTGTCTTATGAACTGTGTTTCACTGGAATTGCTTTTAAAAAAAAGAACTGTGCTGGAGCATAGTAGTTATTTACTTAGTTTTGGCAGTAGTGATGTCTGATTACTACTTTCTTTGAAAGATGTAGCCTTTTGTAATTGTTGATAAGTTATTGAAATATTTGTTGGGGGCATGTGATAGCGGGCTATGAAGCACGGACACACATACCATGAAGCCGTGTCGTGTCGTGTCCGTGTCGGACACACGTATCAAACACACATCCTATGTATTTTTTAGGATTTGCCTCATGTCGGCGTGTCGAATGGCCGTGTCGGATCCGTGTCCGTGCTACATAGATAGCGGGTATCTAATACCGTTTTCCTCCTAATGTGTTTTCCCCTTAAATTTGTAGTCGTATTTGGAACGAGACGTGGCTAGCATGCTTCTTTTTACAAACCTTGCAACTATGAGTTATTTGTAAAACAATCACTCAACATGGAGATGGCTACTGTTATGGCACGGGTATGGCGCATTTGGCCATTTTATCATAACTAGAATTACTTTTTTCAATTGTGTTGTTGGCTAACCTTAACCTTGCAGTGAGCTTCTTGTTTCTATTTTCTTTGTCATTGCATCTCTCTTAAAAGAGTTTCTTTGAGACATTGTTTTAAATTCATAGAAATTGCAATTGCATAATTTTTTTTAATTTAATGGCAATTGCATAAGTTTTATAAACACTTATACGAAACTTTAATTTTTGTAGTATTTTGTGATTGGACAGAAAATATAGAAACAATAAGTATTTTTTGTTTGTGTAGAATGCTGGCATGGATTGGATCATCCATCTAGATACTGATGAATTGATGCATCTAGTTGGGGCTCTAGAATATTCTTTAAGGAGGTTGCTTGCAGATGTACCTAGCAATGTTGACATGGTTATCTTTCCAAACAATGTAAGCGGGTTGCTATCAGTAGCTGTATCAAATTTATTTTCTCAAATCTAATGAACTTTTGTGTTCCAGGAAAGTAGCATTGAGCGAGATGACGTAATAGATCCTTTCAGTGAGGTAATTTATGTTACATTTTGCGTGTGCAATTTCAATTCCAGTTCTATCGATTATCTTTATCATACCCAATGCCCTTTTCTAGATGTTTAACATGAGTATTTTGGATTTTAAATAATACAATAAGTAGGAAATAATGAAAACACATAAATTTAAATGTATATCATTCTTTTAAATAGAAGTCTTCTTGCAATGGCATTGTGTATATACACACATTACGCACGTGGAAATATATGTATTAGTGTATTGAACCATGTACGTGCGTATATTGGTACCCATTAATACATGCATATAAATTTGCTACTATGTAGCCGATTCTCAAAATAAGCTTAGGACAACTCGGGGATGTAACTATTCCTATTCCATCACCGACTATAAAACAAAAAAAAAAGTGTAGAAGAAAGAACAGAGGAAGCACCAAGGAACGGGAATGTGAACTGGGAGGTCAAATCCAAAGTATTCAGTAAGATGAAAAACCTCATATTCCTCCCCTTTTTATATATATTTTTAGTGCAACTTCTCTATTTTCTGGCTTTGGGATTTTTTAGAGCAAACAAATGAATTCTAGTGATTGTGATCAAGAGAACTTGTCCAAACTACAAGGGTATAGTCGGGAAGTTCCTCGGGTTCATGATCACCCAGAGGGGCATTGAGATCAATCCAAAGAAAATATCCATCATAGAGTGATTACCCGAGCCCCGCACACTGATGGATTTCTAGAGGCTAAGCGGGAAGATTGCGGCACTAGGCTATTTTCTCTCCAAATCAGCCAAGAGGAGCCTCCCATTTTTCAAGATGCTAACATGAAGCAAGGAGTTCAAGGAAAGCAAGAGTTGGACGACCAAATGCAGCGTGGCCTTCAAAGATCTTATGACATACTTAAGACCTAAGCCGCTGCTGAGTCAACCTGCAGAAGGAGAGACCTTGTATCTATACTTAGCCATCTTTCCCGAAGCCGTCAGCTCTGTCTTGGTTCATGAAGAGGATAACACCTAGAAGCCGGTGTACTATGCCAACCGAATATTAAAAACTAGTGAACTAACCTACCTTTCATAAAGAAGGTTGCCTTCATCCTCGTTACCACAACTAGGAGGCTCATCCTTACTTTCAAGCGCATTTTATAATCATCCAGACAAGCTTGCTTTTGAAGAAAGCTCTCAGCAACGTCACCACTTCAAGAAGTATGGTCACCTGGTCGGTCGAGCTAAGAAAGTGCGATGTACAGTTTAAGCCAAGGACGACTATCAAAGCCCAAGCATTGGCCAACTTCCTCATTGAGTCAACTTACCAGATAATGAACCAGTCGCGCCTTCACCGCTAGCCCGGTAGGGGCCATCAACTTCTCAAGAAGTCAAGACCCTGTACCTCAGCCAAGATGCACCACCGCATATGATTCTCAGAAGTTTGCCTATTGGTGGTTGTTAAAGGGATCCTCTGGAGAAACCGATAGCAAAGGAGTAGTCCTATGTAGCCCAGATGGGTCGATCCACGAACAGTTTTTTGTCTTCTCAGTCTAAAACAACGAGGCCAAATATGAAGTGCTCCTAGCTGGCCTTCGAGCCACACGGGGAGTCAAGGTCGAGCACCTCTACATTTTAGCCCGGTAGGGGCCATCAATTTCTCAAGAAGTCAAGACCCTGTACCTCAGCCAAGATGCACCACCGCATATGATTCTCAGAAGTTTGCCTATTGGTGGTTGTTAAAGGGATCCTCTGGAGAAACCGATAGCAAAGGAGTAGTCCTATGTAGCCCAGATGGGTCGATCCACGAACAGTTTTTTGTCTTCTCAGTCTAAAACAACGAGGCCAAATATGAAGTGCTCCTAGCTGGCCTTCGAGCCACACGGGGAGTCAAGGTCGAGCACCTCTACATTTTAGCAGACTCCCAACTTGTTCGTCAGGTGAATGGAGAGTAGTCAGCCAAATGTTCAAGGATGGTCCTATAATTGAAGGGCTAAAGAGCTATTAGCCTGTTTTGCTGACTTTAGGATTGGTCAAGTCCTCTGCGCCCTACCATAGAATGGCACTGAAGCCAGGAGTCTACAAAGGAATGCTCGCCGCTACCTTATGATCAACGATCAACTCTATCGGATGTCATACTCTAACGGTGGAGCGGTACCCTACCTTTGGTGCCTCCAGTCATCGAAGGCTAGTTATGTTCTCAAAGAAATCCATGAGGGAATGCGTGGGAATCACCCCAAGGCTAGAGCTCTCCCCCAAAAAGTCATTCACCAGGGGTATCGTTGGCCATCCATACTTGCCGAGTCCAAGAGGCTCACCTCTTTGTGCGAGAAATGTCAACTCTTCTCGGCCATTCCATGAGCAACAACTACCAAACTAACCTCCATTCTGAGTACGATCCCATTTGCTCACTGGGGTCGGGATTTATTGGGCCATGTTCTAATTCCTCAGGGCAGCAGAAGTTCCTAATTATAGCCATCAACTACTTCACAAAATGGATTGAGGTTGAGCCCTTAGCTAGAATTTATGAAAACAATGTCACTAATATTGTGTGAAGGTCTATTGTGTGCCGATTTGGTGTGCCCCTCTTTGTAACAGACAGTGGCACTCAGTTCTATAGCGGGGCTTCTAAAGCTTTTGTAAAGAGTACAACATGCACCTTAAGTTCTCCTTGGTTGCACACCCCAAGTGTAATAGATTGGACGAAACCACCAACAAATGTATCCTCCAAGCTCTGAAGAAGAAGGTGGACGAGGCGAAGAAGGTGGATGAGGCGGCTGGAAATTGGGTTGAAGAGTTACTTGGTATCCTATGGTCCTACCGCACAACTCATAAGAACTCGACAGGGGAAATCCCCTTCAAGCTAGCTTATGGAGCCGAAGTGGTCACCCCGATCGAGGTCGGCATGCCGACAATCAGATTGCAGCAATTTGACGAGGACTTAAATGCAGAAGAGCTTCGGGTTAGACTCGATCTCCCAGACGAAGTCTGATATAAAGCGCTCTGATCCTAAGTCATCAACCAGCAGCGCGTCGTCCGATACTACAACAAGAAAGTTCAACCCAGGAGATTCAACATTGGTGGTCTTATTCTTTAAAACGCTGCTTTTGACAAAGACAACAGACGCGCCAAGTTATCTCCCAACTGGGATGGACCCTACACAGTCCTCGAAGAGTTGCACCCTGGCACGTATCGACTAAGAAGCCCTAATGGAAGGATCCCGCATCATCCTTGGAATATCGAGCACCTCAAAAAATATTTTCAATAATTTGTATGGGAATTTCTCTTATCTTTGAATCCTACCTCCGATATTATATTCTCGTAGCACAATCTTCACAGATATCAAATGACCTTGGCACTATAAGACCAATGCACTCTAATCTTTTGGTCTACTCTGACCTCGGAAGACCTTGGCATCTTCATTAAGTTCAAGGCACTCAATAAAAGCCCTTGGCACCATAAGACCAAGACACTCCAATCTTTTGGTCGACTCCGACCATAAAAGACATTGGCACCCTTATTAAGTCTAAGGCACTCAGAAAAAGCCCTTGGCACCATAATACTAAGGCACTCTAATCTTTTGGTCGACTCTGACTTTGAAAGACCTTAGAGCTCTTAGTAAGTCTAAGGCACTCAGCAAAAGCCCTTGGCACCATAAGACACAAGGCAATCCAATCTATTGGTTAACTCCGACCTCAAAAGACCTTGGCACCATTAAAACCAAGGCACCCTAACCTTTCGGTCAACCCTAATCCAAAGACCTTCGCTAACTATAAATAAGCCTAAAGCATTCCATCACCAATAAGAGAAGCGTAAAGGGCGAGCTAGTCGACTCGCCCACGTGCACAAGTCACTCACCACGTAAAATCTACTCACCCTCGCTATCGGCCACTCAAAGCAAAACTATGAATGTACGAAACAGAATAGAAGGTGAATGGGAACTCCATAATAAAAGAGAGGAGTAAATTTTCATTGACATGTCTGAATGATTACATTATTAACATTAATAATAATAATAATAATAATAATAATAATAATAATAATAATAATAAAAGAGAAGGAAAACAGATAAAAGCTCAGGAGGGTCGATCTTCATTCATCTTGGCGTGGGTCGAGTGTACGACTTGGGAGAGTGACACTTGACTAGGGAGCTGGGACATGCTAAACGACAGGTGATGCTTGGGTGAGAGGGAGTAGATTCTTGATCATTCTTGGGCTCGCCCTTGTCGTCCCCGTCATCTGCCTCTAGTGTTATTCCCCCTTCGCTCGTCTCAATATCCTTCAAGAAATCAAGGCAACAAGAGACTCGAGGGGGGTTGAGACTGTCTGGGGCAGATTGAGAGTTGGGAGGAAGCAAGGAGGTGAGATAGTTGAATCCAACTTTACAAGCTAATCTTACTTCGATATTGCCTAGGACATGGTGGCAGAATTCCTCCACCACCTCCGCCTTATACCCTTCTGAGTCTAAGTAAGCAAGTCGAGCCTTCAAGGCCTTAATAGTCACCTCAAACGGCTCATGGGCTGACTGCTCCTCCCTGAGGTCCAGCTCCAAAATTTGGGCCACCCAGCGATGTGACCAGGCGCATTCATGTGCCTCAAGCCTATCGTGCTTCTCAACCTCAAGCTCTTCACTCAAATATTTTATTCGACCGCCCCACTCGGTGATCCCTTGCTGGAGACAATTGATATCCCTCTAGAGCTTGGCCAAGTCCTCTTTAAGCCTCCCAATTATGGCCTACTGCTTATCGCGGTGCCCCTTGAGTCCTCTGATTGTGTCATCTTTGATCTCCAGCTATCGATGCCCTTTGCTTTTATTACGCTTCAGGTCGGCCTCCAGTGCCGCAACCTTCTCATCCTCGCCTTCTTGGCCCCTTCTCCTCAGCCAATGCCTCTTCAAAATTAGCGGGAGCTTATACGTGAAA